AGCACTGGTTAGGCACTGGTAAGCACTGGTAGGCACTGTCATTGGTGTTACTAAACTAAATGTCAATTTATGTCACATTTACTCCCATTACTTATTTGTGAGGAGAAAACTGTTTTCAGATTAATTTAAGGCCAGAATAAGATTGCATTTGAAAGGCTAGACTCTATTAAATACTATTTATATAACATTACTTATTNAGGACAAATAGACATAGAAATAGAAATTTAACCGTTCATTCATTTACGCTATCATTAAACGTGTGAATTCAGACTCACAATAAAAATCTCTTTTTAATATTTTTTCTTTTGTTTCATTATTTATTTATTAAACAATGAAATGTTTATGTCATCAAAATTGTTTGTCTAATGCTTTATATTTTTAAATTATTATAAATTTATTTCTGTGAATTACAAATATTCAATTACTGTAATTTTTAGTGGAATTTTTAAATGTGTATTTATGTATGTATTATTGTTATAAAAACATAATTTTTAATGTTTTATTAAAAACGAATTATATATTAATTAAAATATAAAATTATATGAAATATAATGTAATTTATACCGTATTTTTTGTGTATTTATAAAACTGTTTCTAACCTATAATCTTAATTGTTAATTCTAAATGAACTTTAAATCCATATATTTTGTTTGGCCTCAACTCTATTTATTCCAACAATATATCAAATTTGTTGTAACGTTTTGTGTATTAATAAAACAAAATTATAATTGCATTAATAATGGTATTATTTATATGATTATACATAAACATTTAAAATTTAATAAAGATATTAAAAATATATTTAACATTAATTTAAGAATTATGTATTCTTAATGTGTGGTGTATTTTAAAATAAAATTCAGGAAATATTACAAGTAAATTATTTGAAATAAATAATTTAATTTATGAATTGATTTACATATTATAATGAAACAGTATATACAAGCACTATTTGAAATAATTATTTTTAAATTAGAGAAAATGAAGTAAGAATTTATTTTGAATTATCAAATAATAATTACAAATAACTTGTCACTTAACATCCATATTAGTATATAAATTATTCGTGGTATAATGATCAGATTTATGATTTGTAGCTTATACCAATAGTGATAATTCTATAATTAAGCAAATAAACTAATAAAATGTGGTTAACACTACCGAACTTTGTATTGATGGTATAAGCTAACGTTAGTAAAGTATTTAGATATTATAAATTGTGTTATAAATGTTTAATTTATATGCTCAAAAATCTATAATGCTATAAATTAAAATTGATGATAATATAATTTTGATACATAAATTGTAAAAATATAATTTTCATTTTTAATACCTATTACATAATAAGCAAACATATATAATATTTTAATTAGAATTAATATAAATGACAATCTAAAACATTACTGTGTGCAACATATTTTAATTTTCACTTAATTTAACAAAAGTTTTAATAATTTATAAAGTATATGTTGCAATCGAAACATACTTACATCTCTATTTATATCAATTTATAATACTAACTTTACAGTGCATTTAAAAATAAATTAAAGCAATTTAAAAATAAGTATTTTTTAACTATTAAATTAATGGTCAAAGATTTGTAATTAAATATGTTTAATAATTTATAAGCTGTTAACCAGTAGACAAATTGAGTGAAATATGGTATTACAAATTATAATACATTGTGAAAATCTTTTAGTAAAACCATACGACAAATTATTCCAGTAAACTTAGCAAATCTAATTTTAACTACACTCAATAATTAACAAAATATGTATACTAAAAATTTACATTAGCATACTATAACAAATATATAGTAAAATTATTTTTTTAAAGATTATGAAGAATTTCTATGCTGTTAACTGTTTTAAAATATGGTTTGAGATTTAAGTATTTATAAAATTAGTTGTTTGAAATAATTAGTTTTAAAGAGCTCCAAAATAATGATATTTACCTTATATACTGATATGTAGGATATTTTTGTAATCAGGTGTAAGAAATTAAAAAGAATTTATACATTTTCATGTGACAGACCTTCTACTGTAAATTAGTTTTAAAGAGCTCCAAAATAATGATATTTACCTTATATACTGATATGTAGGATATTTTTGTAATCAGGTGTAAGAAATTAAAAAGAATTTATACATTTTCATGTGACAGACCTTCTACTGTAGATCCTTTCGGTACAAATTTGAACACAATTGTGTTATGATACATTTAATATAGAGTTTACTGTACTTTCATATTAATTCTACTAGTTTAGGGTTTACATATTGCTTGATATTCTATTGTATACTGTATTTATAACATAAAAATTTATTTTTAATCAATTTACTAGGCAGCATAAAATGGTAAATGTCAAAAATAAAATAAGTTAACATTTTCTATAATACAAATAAATAATACTTTAAGCATTGATTTAGATTACATAGCAAACAATGCGAGAATTTACAGTTAAGTCCAAATCTAAACAACATATGAAATATAAAATCAATGTACAATTTTGTTATTTCTGAAATAATTATTTTGGTAAACAATACAATCAAATACTATATAATATATTGATTGCTATATTTTAAAGAATTTTCAATTTTTAATATCAAAATATCTCTCTCTCTCTCTCTCTCTCTCTCTCTCTCTCTCTGTAAATATCACTTTGAATTGATGTTTTTGGATGAAGAAAATGAAAGCCTTTGAGCTTTTATAGAAAAATGAAAGATTAAATTTAGAAATATACTGTATAAACATCATATCTCATTATTATACTTTAATAATAATAAATTTTGTATATAGAAATTCATATAAATTTTGTCCTAGAGTGTAGTGTTTTATAATCTAGTTAATTGATAAGAAATGTTTGTTTTGGAACTAACATGGCATTAGAAAACACCGGTTACACTAAAATTGAATGAAATATGATATACTCTCTAATAAGTAATGTTATATAAATAGTATTTAATAGAGTCTAGCCTTTCAAATGCAATCTTATTCTGGCCTTAAATTAATCTGAAAACAGTTTTCTCCTCACAAATAAGTAATGGGAGTAAATGTGACATAAATTGACATTTAGTTTAGTAACACCAATGACAGTGCCTACCAGTGCTTACCAGTGCCTAACCAGTGCTCTCGGAGTGCTTTTTATATAATTAAAAGAAATGATATGAAAGAAAGCTCGAGGTATACAACAAAATGAGTTCAGTATTATTGGTGGCTGAGACTCAACCCTATTATAGAAATATTATACAAAGGGATGGGATTTATATATGAATACAATATTATCGTAACTCTTCCATAGCCTTCAAACACTTCGTCTCTAACGAGTAAAACAAAACTTTATATTAGTTTCATAAATGAAATCTCGTTTTCTTAATAACATACTATAACATAGTATAGCAATAATTTATCATTTTATCGCTCATTCTCATTGTTGCTAATGAGACTATTATTATCAAAATTATTACAATTTATTTGTTATGTTTCCCTCAAATTATTTATAAATATAGTTCTTAACATTTAATGAACTTCTCTATAGATCCGTACACTATAGGACAAGTAATGATAAAAGTTGTAAATGTTTTTTACTATTTATTCAATATTAATGATACTATTATTGTTTAATATTTGTCTCGGTTTTCCATTAAATAAACAATTACAGAGTAATTAACAACATAGCCTCAAGTACTCAAACGTCTATTAATATAAGAAATTAATTCTTGAATTATACTTGATTTTAAACATTTCTTTTCATCTGTAACTTACATGTATTTATTTGAAATGAATCTGTAGATTGTAATATTTATAGGAAAAATAGTAGCATTCAAACGAATTTGTAGTAAAAAGCACTGGTCAGCAATAAAATATTTTTAACATTCACTTCATGGCTGTATAATACTGATAACTCTTACTTAACATTATAAATGTCAAACTTATATTCATGTAAAACCTATTTATAAATGGTCACCGTTTTACTGAATATTTTTCATGCAACTATTTTGTGATAAATATTAACTATTACAGAATATCTATTATAATAATTTATATTGTACAAATAAGTAATTTACATATATTATAATTTATGTTTGGTAGTATTATTTAAATAATCTTGCCTTTGTTATAATTAAAATTATTATTATATATATTATATAATAGAAATATTTATTATCAATATAAAACAGCTTGTAAGTATATAATAATAGAATAATCATTAAAATATGAATATTCAGATGAAAATAAGGATATAGTCTGTGAATACCGTAATATAAACTTTGAGAATATTATTTATCAATTACTAACTTGTAATCTAAAGGAAAACTACCGTATAATCTAAATAAGTTAAAACAAAAACAAATATTACACAATACTGTAATTGTCAAGGCTTAATTTGATATTAAATTAAGGACTTCATTGACGGCTTAGGTTCTGTACAATCGTATGAATGGCTTGAGTTTAGTTAATACTGTATAAGACTCCAGAATATACTCAAGAATATAAATATGAATGCAATGTTTAATGAGAAGTTCAATACATAGTGTAGTATTGATTGATGAGCACTACTCTAGCATTCAATGCATTCAACCCTCAAATGCAATAAATATAATCCCATTTATAGTCGTAATGCAAATGTCATTCAAAATCGCATGTATTGTCTCAAATGAAGTGACATTCAAATTGTACCTGTTCACTCAAACAGTGACATACTGTAGGTTTGTCAGCAAACGATTGCCAATGCATGCCATGAATGGGTGCGGGATGCCATGAATGAGTGCGGGATGCCATCTGTGGGCTGTGCTGTAGTGATGGTTGCAATTGATGGCGATTTGTGGCAAAAGAGACAAACACTTCATTTGCAAGCAATCAGTGAATCGTTTGTCGCAAACATACACTCAATTGGCTGTCATTTCATGGTTAAGACAATCATTACTTATATTTGAGTTGTTTGTTGACTGCAGTCATAGTGACCGGCGATGACTGTGTGCCACGTGTGACAGTTGTGACCATTAATGGGCTCTCATTTGTCCAAAACTGGTGACACTAATCCTAATATCACAAGAAGTGACGCGAAGTCCAAGTCTGTCAACATCAATAGCCGCCGCAGAAGTTCTGTCGATTCTGTCGCCACTCCTGAGTACATCACTTCCACTACCATTAAAGCCATCGGAGGTAACACAGAGACTAAACAGCAAACAGTTGGTCACAGAAGTGATCAGAAGATCGCAATACCCGCTGAGATAGTGGTCGTGTCGGACGGATCCGTGAACCAAGACATCCAACAGACCTTCACTTTTCCGCCATCTTTTAAGCCATTGATTCCCATCGGACACGAGTCGTTATCCCACTCTTACCCACAATTAAAGCCCAAATATGTCATCAATTTTGGTCTTATTGTCGAAAAGCATTTGAAAAATAAGTCTGAGTTTGTGTCCAAAGAGCAGCAAAAACTTGTGGATCAGATCCGAGACGTGGACTCAATAGTGTCTTATATATCCAATCAGTTTATTATCGAAAGACAGAAACGATTGATAAAAGTGTCCGAAAATCTATCGAAAATTGATGAGATCTCGACTCTAATCGAAAAGTGCGACAAAGATATCGACAATTGTGTCGAGAATTTGCAAAAACTGAACCAATTTTTGCCCAAATCTTTGGCGTTAGAAAAGTTTGAGTTCAAGACAACTCATTAAAAGAACCAATTTTTGTGTTTTTATTATTTAATATATTAACTGTTTTTTAATCGACAAACTGTTCCCAAGAATGTCGTCCCCAAGTCCTGGACCCCTTTCCAGCGCACAATCCCTTCTAAACTCGCTTCCGGGCGCCCGAAGAGTCAGCACTAATAACTTTGTCGGACTGTCAGGTGTGGGTCAGAGCGCGGGTCAAGCGACCGGTCCCCTCACACCCCCTCTGTCCCAACACTCACAACACTCTCCCAACTCTTTTTTGGCGAACTTCTCGTCCCGTCTCATCACAAACAAGACCCGTCTGCCCGACCTCCTGGACCTCACGTCCGGCTCCACCCTCTCCAACCTCAACAACAACTCCAATCTCTTAGGCTTTAGGAATTCGATGCATACGTTCGGAGTTGTGGGCGGCTCTGTCGGGGGCCCACCGGCGCCCTCACTAGACATGACTGAGTTCCCAACACTGGGCGGCAGCAACTCTAGCAGTGTATGTATTGCACACTTCTCTAGCAGTGACTATATCTGCCATCAAATGCTCTCATTATAGTATGCTTTCGTTGAACAGCTCGGGCTGAACAACAACCCTCCGGGTCGACCGCCATATGTAGGTATGGTTAAGGACAACGTGACCACCAATTCCTCATCCAATGAGTTCAACATTCAAAGTGAAGACTTCCCGGCACTGCCCGGATCTAACCCTAACCTCCATTTCGGAGGCAGTCATAACGAAAACTCTTCGCTGAGCAGTGCGTCGACTGTCATGTCTTTGGGCGCCAATAACATGACAGGAATGGGTCATCACTCGGGTCTCATCAACAATAGCGGTGCCGGCGATGCGAACATTAAATTCAAGAGAGGCATACAGACCAACAAAGAGGGTCGTGTGACCAACATTCCCATTGGTATGGTTACCGACCAGTTCGGAATGGTTGGCCTCTTGACGTTCATTAGAGCCGCGGAATCGGACCAAAGTTTAGTGTCGTTGGCTTTGGGCACAGATCTCACGACACTCGGACTTAATCTCAACTCTAATGAGTATGTTTTGCACGCTTTCCCTCTGATCATATCGATTGTCACACATTTATTCCACATTCAGACCGTTGTATCAAACATTTGCCGGTCCCTGGAGTGACCAACCCCTCAAACCACCGGAAATTGGTATGAACTCAACTGTTGTATAATTTTGATTTGGTTTCATTTATTGATTTGTTGCTGTGCTCGCAATGTAGACTACCCGGTGCCCACCGAATACCTGATTAACGCCTCTATTAGGGATAAGTTAGCGCCACTCAAACTGAACCGGTATGGGGACGACCTGTTATTCTTTTTGTTCTATATGTATGCGGGAGATATCATACAAATATTAGCCGCCAGTGAATTGTAAGTGAATTGTTTGCAACGAATGAATGTTCGCGTATTAAACCAAATGTTTTGTACAGATATGTGAGAGACTGGAGATATCATAAGGACGAACGCATTTGGATAACGAGAGCGCCGGGAATGTTGCCGTCAGACAAACAGCAGACGTACGAAAGGGGGACCTATTATTTCTTCGATCCGCATAACTGGCGAAAAGTTGCCAAAGAGTTTCATTTAGAGTACGAGCGCCTGGAGAACAGGCCGGCCGCTGCAGCCTTTTCCAGTGCACCCCTCAGCTCATGAACACTATTGTCTAAATTCAATCAATCATTAAATGTTTCGATAAATAAAATTAACTTTTTTTAATTTTAACTCTAATCACTATGTAATATAATTATTTTTATGTCATTTACAGTACAATAATTGGATATTAATTTGGTTTTTAGTTTTTTATATAAATTGTGTCCAGAATTGTATTTATGGGCAGAAGAACTTGAGATCAAAAGAATATTCTCTCAATTGTTTGTTGATTGTCTTCAGGAGAGGGCTTTTTGTTTTACAACAAATGCCATTAAAGTCATCAAGGTCCAGACTCCAAATCATGGCACCGCCTAAATTGTGATCTTTGATAAAGTCTAACCCGCAGTGAATACCAAAGTGGCCAAAAGTGAATTGCAAAAGTGAGTAACAGCACAATTAGTAATGTTATAAGGATTTCAAAATGAAATAATAAGAAACAAGTGTTCACTCACTGGTCTTCTGTATGATGTGATCGCTATCGTCATAACCGACCCATTGGTAGCCGTCATAAGCGTACGGTCCGGTCATTAGTGGTATACCCTTTACAGCGTATGTATCGGTGCGCTTTGCCCAACCATGGTTTAGTATATTAGCACATATCTCATAGTACGCAAGGAATCCACTTTCTCTGGTATAGAACCCTCGATCGCCCGTTCCGTTGACGGCTGACCCAAAGTCATTGATTTGTGAATCCAATAATTTGAAAGATCGGCCGTAGAATGGAATTCCAAATATGATTTTATGAGAGGGAACGCCTTTCCTAATCCAGTAATTGATTGAAAAGTTAGCGTTTAATAAGGAATTGTCTAAATCTCTGGCGTTTGGGTGGGAATAAAGCAGTGAGTGATGTGCGGCTATAGGGCTGCCAGTCGTGTAAAAGTCATAAGTCATTAAATTAATGAAATCCAAGTTAATCATCAATGAGTTGATCTCATAAGCGTTGTCCACAATGTATTTCGTTGCGCCCACAGCTGCCGTCAATAGCAAAGGCTTTGATCTC